CTGTTCAACAGTGGAACACACTCCCTCAGAGTGTGGTGGACTCTTCTTCCTTGGAGGTCTTTAAGCAGAGGCTGGATGGCCATCTGTCAGGAATGCTTTAATTGGGATTTCCTGCATGGCAGGTGTTTGGACTGGATGGCCCTTGTGGTCTCTTCCAACTCTATAATTCTATGATTCTATGAATTGGCCCTAACTTGAACTACCCAAGGAGTTCAAAGATATAGCTGTGTTGGTCTGTAGAATCAGTATGTAGAAAGATCTTGTAGCGCCTTTGAGACTAACTGAAAGAAAGAAATTGGCAACATGAGCTTTCATAGAGTTCAGTCTACTTCCTCAGATGCATTTGCCCAAATGTATCTGAGGAAGTAGAATTGTCTACAGAAGCTCATGCTACCAATTTCTTTCTGTCTCAAAGGTGCTACAAGATATCCAAGGAGTGTACTGGTCAAGGACCGAATAAATTGAATTGAAATTGATATCCAAGGAGTTGTTATATGGAAGGGGATAGGTATCAGGAGCTTGAATAGTTCCCTTGGAGACCAAAACCCAGAATGGAATCACTGCCCCAATGCCATGGAAGCCATCACCTGCATCTGGTAATTGGCAGCCTCTCAGTATCTAAAAGATCCTGCCATGTTGGTTTTGATTTGTTTAATGAATATGTATTACTCCATTGTATGTGTTTGTTCTATGGTAAAGGCTATGACGTATTGCAGGGGTTAAACCACTTTGTAAGATCATAGAATGATGAGACCAATCCAAGGAATGTGTAGGAGTGTTTTCTTTTAGCAGAACAGAAGCTTATCACCAGGGTGATTTATTTATTTATTTATTTACTTTCTATCCCGCCTTGTTCCATGATGGGACTCAAAGTGGCTCACAAATAAAATTCTAAAAAAACAATATCACAATAAAACAATTAAAAACATCTGCTAAAAACAATATAAGATACAAACATTAAAACCACAATATCCATATAAAATCCATCCTATAATTCTTCCATTATGCATTAAAAGCCTGCCTGAAAAGAGCTGTTTTTGCCTGCCGACGAAAGGCAATCAAGCAGGGGTCCAGCCTTACTTCTTGTGGAAGGGCATTCTAGAGGGCAAGATCTCTCTTGTGTCCTCACCAAAGGAACCTGTGAAGGTGGCAGGACCAAGAGAAGGCCTCCTCCTGAAGATCTTAGGGCTCTAGGTGGTTCATATGGCTAGATATGGTCTCTCAAATAATCTGGACCTAAGCTGTGTAGGGCTTTAT